CAGGAGGAGCCGCTTGGCGGCCTCAGATTTACTTCTGCCCTGCGGCTTCTGACCCGGCCGCTGCGCCTTTGGCGGCTTCCCGGGCGTCGCGAGCGACCTGGTTAGCTGGGGCCCCGTCGCTCTGGAGCCTAACTCTGCGCCCGGCGCGCGTCCCCCAGGGAACGTCGAGTGCAGTCTGCGTGCCGGAAGCATATGCGGCGAACAAGTTGGAAGCTGGAAGCAAGCGGGAAGTCTCTGTGCGGGCCTCCCGCATCTGCGGCGCAAGTCTGAACTGAATCCGAAGCGGCAGCTGTGCCTCCGACCGTCTCAAGCCCGCGCCCCCGCGTTGCCGCCTGAGCGCGTTCGCGCGCGCGCGCGCGCGGCCTGCGACCTGGCGACGGCGGCGCCTGCCCCGCGCCCAGACGGGGACGCAACCTCGAGGGCGATCTCGGCTGCGAGAGGACAGATCGCATTCCGCTCGCGGGCCGCGAGCGAGCGCGCGATCGACTGCGCGCTCGGAGCACGCGCGCCTCGCTCGCGTGGAAACAGAATCCTCGGGAAAACGCAGAGGGGCGCTTGAGCGAGAAATGCGCGCCGCCCCCCCCCAGCCGCGACCCCCGTGCCCCGCGATTCGGCGAGCAGCCGCGCGGCGAGAGCAGCATAAGTCCAGCTGGCCGGCTCGAGCGAGTCAGCGGGCCCGCCATTCCCGCCCTCCGCTGCAGAGCGCAAGAGCCAACGTCGGCGCAGATCGGCATTGCGGCTGTCGCGGGCCCCCGCCCGGCGAGCGACGCGCGCTCGAACGCGCGGCTCCGCTCCCGCGACGCGGCGAAAGAAAACCGTGGGCCGCGCTCGAGCGAAAGCATAATCCAAGGAACATCCACGCGCGCTGCTGGGGCAAACCCGCAAGCTGCCGACGAGACCGGCGAGCGCGACGTGGAACGACGCGCGCGCCGTTTGCCGCGCGTGATGACGCGGCGGTGCAATTTCCAAACGACACGTGAATATCGACGGCGACGTTTCCTCTGTTCGCGCGCGGCCCCACTTCCAGCGACCAGGCGAGCGAAGAATATGCACCGCTCCGCGGAAACGCAGGGGGCGCCGCGTTCAAGCGAATTCTGAACGGCGCGCTGGGGAGAACGACACTTCGCCCGCTCGAGCGCGGCCCGGCGCCCGACGATTTGGCCCGCGTAGGAACGCGCACCGCGCCTGCGCGGGCGAGGGCGACATCTGGACGCTTCGCTGGCGACGCGCGCAGCGTGGGTGGGCGCGGGGCTAGATGGGGGAGTTGGCGCATCTACTTGTGCAGAAGGACGATTATGCAGAGTGACGATAAGAAGAAGGTGGTCAGGATTGGCGTGGTGGTCGTGGCTCTGATGGCGACGATAAAGATGATGATCGTGGCGGTCATGATGATGGCGGCTGTGGCGATGCTGGCAGCGGCCGAGGGGCGGTGGGAGATGGGGGGGGGCCCGCCTTGGCCAGCGCGCGCGCTATTCCGCGGCCGCATGGACCAGCTCGGAGCTGGGCGTGACAGGTGCCGACGCGAGGCGGCCATCGCCGAAGCGGGGCCGCTGCGTCCCGGCAGACTTGGCCGTCCTTGCCCCAGGGCTTGTTTGCGCCGTTGGAATCGCGCATGTCGGCGACCCCGCGCGCGCGCGCGCTCGCAGTTCGGCTTCTGCGCCTGGGTGTTCGGGGCGCAGGCCAGCTGCGCGTCTCGGGGGGGAGTGAAGAGGAGACGGCCTTCTCGGGGGCTCGGAAGTCCCCCGGCCTTCTGAGCAAGTTGTCTAGGCCTTCCCCGAAGACGCGGAAAACTCCCCAGTGGGCGCGAGGGCTCCTGAGACGTCGCGCCGACTTCTGAGAAGGCCTCCTCCTTCTCATCCCCCCCCCTCGCTCGCCGCCGAAGCGAGGCCGGCCCGTCTGGGGTGGCGCAGGCAATGCTGGAATTCGGCGAGGTCCACCTCCTGCGCCGCGGCCTGCCCGGGCGAATCCCACTGGCCCTCAGAGCGCCTCAAGAGACCCCCACAGCGCCTCAAGAGACCCCCCAGAGGCGCCCAAGACGCTCCAAGAGGCCTCGGCGAGAATGCCCAAATCATTGATTTTACTAAGGTTTTGGCCACATTTGGGCCTCCTAGGGGGGGGCACTGCTTCAGATGACTCCAAGAGCGCCTGGGAGAGGCCAAGATGACCTCCAAGATGGCTCAAGATATGCCGAGATGCCTCAAGATGGCTCCCACGATGCTCCAGGAGGCCCCAAGCCACTTCAAGACGGCTCCAAGTGGTCAAAGAGCTCCCCCAGGAGGCCCCGAAGAGGCCCAAATCCTTCCCAAACCGGAGGGAAATCAATATTTTGAGCTTTCTCGCCTTTTCGCTTCCGATGGCCGTCCGAAGCTTCAAGATGACTCCAAGATGCCCCAAGAGGCGCCCAGGAGGCCCCAGGAGGCCCCAACAGGCGCCCCAGAGGCCTCCACGACCCCCAAGAGGCCCCAAGAAGCTCTCCGAGGAACCCAAGACGCTCTAAGAGGCGCCCAGGACCGCCAAGAGGCCCCCAAGACGCTCCAAGAGGCCTCCACTGGGGGACCCTTCCTCTGTGTGCTGCCCACTTCCCTGATCGAGGCACTTCCTATGGGCATCGTTTCTGGATGGGCTGGTGGGGTTGCCCGAAGCGTCTAGAATTTCAAACCGAGAGCGGGCTCGAGCGCGCGCGCGGGGGCCCGCGGAGGACGGCCGCTGACGCCGTCCGCGGGGGCGGGGACCTGCCCGCGTCGCCCCGGATGCGTCGGCCTCAGTTCGGCGGCGAGCGAGGCGGGGAAGGGAGAGATGGCCTTGTCAGAAGGCGGCAGGGGGGTGAGAGATGGTCCTCGCGCCATCTGGAAAGTGCGCCGCGTCTTCGGGGAAGGCGTGGGAAACTGGTCTGAAGGCCGGGGGGCTTCCGAGCCTTCTGAGACGGCCTTCTCCGTCTCACTTCCCCCCGGCCGTGGCGCGTCGCGTGGGGCGCCGTAGCGGAGCAATTCGTTGGTCTCGTGGGCTTTGCCGTCGACCTTGCAGAGCTGGGCGTCGCTCTTGCCGTCGATCGCGCCGCGTGTGTCGTCGTCGCCGCGCGCGTCGTCTCTCTCGTCGAGCCTGTCGTCGCGCTGGTCGGAGTACTCGCCCTGAGCGGAATTGCCGCCGAGCATGTCGAGTCTGTCGTCGTCCTTGTCGACTGTCGTGCGAATCGCCAAATTTGACGGAATGCTCGTGAATGCGTCGTGCTTGGCGAAACCTGCGCCGTACGTGTCGAAACTGTTGTGTACGGCCAGAGTGAACGCCTTGTCGAAGCAGTCGTGCACATTGGAATTGTCGCCGTGCGTGTCGGAATTGTCGTCGAGCTTGTCGTAGTTGCCGTCGGAGTTGACGTACAGCTTGGTCGTCTTGCAACCGTACCTGGTGGCGTACCTGTCGCAAGGGCCGTTCAAATCGGAAAGGACGCTTCCGAATCTTGTGGGTTGTCTGATCAAGAGATGCCAGACATTAAGTCGGACACCACGGAGCCGGACGCCGATCCAAACAGCGCGTCGTAGAACGCGGTGGTGCGAAGGCCACCAGAAGTCGTAAGCGAGGAGGTCGTTGCCGAGCCCTACGGGGAGGCAGCAGTGGCCAACCGCGCAACGAGCAGCTGGAGCAACGGTCTGTGAGGTAAACACCGTCCACCGCAACATGGCGACAATGACCGCGGCGCATATGGATACGACTGTGGAGACGACGCCGATTCGGCCTCGATCGACGGGCTGCCAAACTCGTGGCTGAACAGCACAGCGGTGCGCACATGCGGCGGCAGCTGCGGGATCGCCCAGATGCCAGAGCTCGAACGGCTTGAGCCAAAGTGACATGAACCAGAACGGCTACGGGCTTGGTGATGGTGATGGTGGTGGTGATGATGGGGGCGAAGACAAGAGGGAGTGCGATCGGGGGTGGGGGGGTGGGGTGCAAGCTGGGTGCGTTCGCAACTGACATAACACCTCTCCCTCCCATCCCTACCTTCCCGTTGCGCTGTGTTTTCCTCTGTCCGCGGACGCGTGTTACAGCGGACATGACATTCCAAACTATAACCTATCGTGTTATGCGCATCGGAGAAAAAAGGAGCTGCGTAGATGGGAGGACGGGGAAGAATAAGTCGAGGATGAGGATGAGGATGAGGATGAAGGGGAGGAGGAGGAGGAGGAGGAGGAGGAGGAGGAGGAGGAAGAGGAGGAGGAGGAGGAGGAGGGGCGAAGAGGAAGGAGGAGGAGGAGGAGGAAGAGGAGGAGGAGGAGGAGGAGAAGGAGGATGATGATGAGGAGGAGAAATAATAATATGATGAGGAGGACGTGACGGGCCAGCATAATGATGCGCTGGTGGAAGACGAGGCGGATGAAGAAGAAGAGTAACAACACTAATACTTTTAATATTAATAAGAAGAAGGACGAAGACGAGGAAGGACAACAATAGCAATAACTGGGGTGAAGGGAACAGGAAGAGTAAGATGACCACGGGAAAGCGGAAGACTGGAAAAGAAGGACGATTAACTCGGGTTTAGAAATGCGGCCCGCGCTGGGGCGAGAACGCAATTCTGAACGACGGGGGCAAAACCGCAGTCCTCAAATGAGGCCCACGCTACAACGGGAACACCATTTTGCAAGGACCGACAAATCCGATCGGAACGACACACATGGAACACCAAATCGGGCTCACCTTATGCGACAAAACAACACGAGGATGGGGGCGCCCTACTCTCAGCACGTCTGCGGGGGAGAGAGAAGAATAGTTTCCAGATTGAGAAATGGTTGGGAAGGAAAAGGGGGGACGGAGGTTGATAATGAGGACAATGGGGAAAAGGAGGAAGAGGAAGGGGAGCAGAGAGGTGACGGGGCGGAGGGAGGGGGGGAACGTGCGTGAAGGCGGGGGGCGGGGAGGTGGAGGAGCGGACGAGGGAAGATGGGCAGCAAGTGAAAGGGCAGGAAACCGTTCCCAGCCTGGCTGCGTCGACAGGGCATGGCTCTGCAGGCGTCCTGCTGGTGCACAGCTGCCACGTGATGACTCCGAAGGCGTACACGTCCACCTTCACTGCAGCCAGACAGCATCCCAATCCCAACACGTTGGAGGAGGAACAGCGGCAGCAGGAGAAGGAAGAGCATGAGCTGGAGGAGGCGGAGGAAGAGGAGGGGGAGGAGGAACAGGAGGAACAGGAGGAGGAGGAGGAGGAGGAGGAGGAGGAGGAGGAGGAGGAGGAGGAGGAGGAGCAAGAGGAGGGCCACTCGCCCAGAGGGGGATGGGCAAGGGTGGGCTTGGACGTACCGCCACGCATGCACAAGTTTTACCACTCGCAGTGCGACTGCACATGAGCAGAGCCAAGCGTGAAACGACAACGGGCCGATTCGCACGGCCGAGAGGGGGACGAGGATGCGGAGGGCCAGAGTAAACCCAAGCTGCGTCAACGATGCGGCAGCACGCCATCCCGTCCCGAGTCCCCTCCTCACAAGTCCTTCCATGCCATGTTTTTCCCCGCAAGCTTTCCTTTTCCTCTACGAGGCGGCTCTGTCGCCTCTCCGCCGTCCCTCTGGCGTTCCCTCGTCAAGGCGCGCTCGCGAGACTTACACAAGCAGTTCCCCTACCTCTTCCCCGGCGTATGCCAGGGGCGGGCGTTCCGGTGGCCCCCGCCCTCGTTGACAAGCCGATCCACAGCGACAGCGACATGGTGATGATGACGAGGATGAGGACTGAACAATGGCTGGCCGACCTAATACTCCTGTAGGCCTACAAGGGCACGTTCTTATAACATTCTGTTCTAAGAACACACGCAACGTTCTCAGAAAGGAGGGGCGATGCAGCAAAAGAAAGCGACCTCGGCCAGACATATTCTAACAACATTTCGTACGAACAACAAAATAGGTGATCGCATGCACACATTGCTTGTGCCAGTACGGCTACCAGGAGGAGGATGAGGTGGAGGAAACGAGGAGGAGAAGGAGGAGGAGGAAGAGGAGGAGGAGGACGAGGAGGAGCAGGAGGAAAAGAAGGACCATGAGGAGAGGAGGAGGACGAGGAGGAGGAGGGACTGCAGGAGGGGAGGAGGAGGAAAACGAGAAGGACCATGGATGGGGGCGATCGCCAAGCGCCCCACGCCCCAGGGGACTGCACTCGGGCCACCTTCTTGGTCAGGGCGCTGCCCTCGAGCTGGAACAGCTCGGGGGGCATGTAGGTCACCTCTCCTCCTCCTCTTCCTCCTCCTCCTCCTCCTCCTCCTCCACGTGCACCTGCACCTGCACCGCCTCCACCTCCACCTCCTCCACCTCCAGATCCTCCACCTCTTCCTCCACCGTCAAGACCCTCCACCTCCTAGTTCTACTCCTCATCCTCCATATCCCAAATCCTCCTCTTCCACCTCCAAACCCTCCACTTCCTCCTCATCCTGGCGGAATCGACGCTGGCCTCTCCTCCATGTCTCTTCCTTATCAACAACTCCTCCCTGTCACACCACCAGAACTATCCGCAGGCGAGCCGGGCTTTTCGCATGAGACTTCCTCGCGGGTTATGACCCCGACGCGTAACACGTCCAACAGTTACACGGGTGGAGGACGGACCAGTGGTTTTCAGTATAAGGCTCTCGCCTTAGCGCCGCGCGCACTCGTGTTTCAAATTTCGAGTTTGTGTTGATGGAGGCCGACACGGAAACTATCCTCGCGTAAGTATTTCGGCGAGCGCGCACTTGTGCAAGCGATGCAGGAGCGGAGGGCGGCTCCTGTCACAACGCGTGGCGCTAACCGAAACTTCGTTTGCGTGTGTGGCCCGAACTCTTAACATTCAGTCGGGCGTGTCCCCCTACAGGGAGTTTTTGGACGAAACAAAAAATACCCAACAAAATACCCAAACCAAACTCAAAATAGTAACAAAATCGTCCCCAGACTATTTTTTCACTATTTTTGAATTTCCCTCCTGTAGAAGGGCAGGCCCGACTCAATCTTGACATGCCAACCGCTGCACGACTCCAGGGCGGATCCTCGACAACGCGGGGCGATCGCCAGGCACTTCCCCGAACATTGAGGCTCACCTTGTAGCACGCCTTACAGCTCAAAGGATGGAGGGCGGTTTGATCCAAAACGGGAAGAGGAGGAGGAGGAGGAGGAGGAGGAGGAGGAAGAGGAGGAGGGGAGGAGCAGGAGGAGAAGGAGGAGGAGGAGGAGGGGAGGAGGAGGAGGAGAGCTCGAAGGATGGACTGCGTTTTGCTTCAAAATGGAGCCCCCGCCCGAGTTGCAGGCCCACGAAGGCGCTCGCCTCTCCGCATGGAGAAGATGCGTTCGCGGGCGTGTCGCGCATGGAGAAGATGCTGTGGCGTTTCGCGCATTGGGAAGATGCTGTGGCGACTAGTGTGAAGGGGGCTTGGGATGTGAGGGTGTCTTGCAACATCGTTGATGCATCTTGGGGTTACTCTCCTCCTCCTCTTCCTCCTCCCCTCCCTCCTCCTCCTCCTCCTCCCCAGCCCTCACAGTTCCCTCTCTTCCTCCTCCGCCTCCTCCTCCTCCTCCTCCTCCTCCACCTCCTTCTCCTTCCCTTCCGTAGCCATTTTGGCTCAAGACGGAGCTTACATCCCGTCCCGACACCAGAGGCTCGAGGCCGAGGTGAAGGGGAGCGCCTTCCGTCAAGCCTGGCTGCCTCGGCCAGCTTTCAGCAACCATTCCGCCACGCCAGAGTGTGGCTGCCATTTATCGCCCGAAGGGCCATCTCTCACTGCCCGTCTGTTTCGGCTTTACGTTTCTGATACCGGAGGAGGAGGAGGAGGAGGAGGAGGAGGAGGAGGAGGAGGAGGAGGAGGAGGAGGAGGAGGAGGAGGAGGAGGAGGAGGAGGAGGAGGAGGAGGAGGAGGAGGGGAGGAGGAGGCGGAGGGAGGAGGAGGGAGGCAGGTGGAGGCAAGAGGGTTGAGGTAGGAGGGAGGAAAGTACCCTGTCTGTCCATGGCATGGCTGCAGCGGCTGGGCCTGGGCAGATCGTGGAGCTACGCACTGCACCAGGTGTGGCTCGCAGCTCGCAGCCGACAGGGTGGCGCTCACAGACCCCACTTCCTGCAGGGGGGAGGACTGGCGCCGTGAGGAGGAGGAGGAGGAGGCGGAGGAGGAGGAGGAGGAGGAGGAGGAGGAGGAGGAGGAGGAGTAGGAGGGAGGAGGAGGCGTTCAGCATCGAGGGTACCGCCAGGTGAACGCAACGGAGGAGACCCGCCTGCAGGACGTGGCCACGGGCGCCGGCGCCGGGGGAAGTCTCGAGGGCCTCCAGGTGCAGCTGGCGACGGACGTGGCGAGCGCGAGCATGAGCGGCCCTACAGTCAAAAACCCTAATAAGGACGCGCGGTAAGGACGCAAGACCCTTGGAAGCCGCAGTTGGGATTTTTTGGGCGGCGGACGACGAAAACCCCAAGGGTACCCTGACTAGCGGGCAAGCGAAAGAGGCCAAGGACGAGCCGCAAGAGCAAGGACGCAAGGGTACCCTGAGCAAAGTCGCGCGTCCTTATTAGGGTTTTTGACTGTACACAGACAAAAGAAGCTACTCGAGGCGAATCACCTCCCAATCCCATCGGGCTGGCCCAGGCCCAGGGCAACCTCTGGGAACAGTGGGAAGCAGACGCCGCGAAGGAGTGCGAGGACGCAGTCGAGGCCCTCAGGCAGGCAGAGCAGATCGCGCTCCAGGAGGAGACCCACGATCAGCAGGCCCAGAGCTTCACCGCTCAGCTCAACCAACAGAAGCGGCGCCTCCAACAGGCGAAGAACACGGCCAACCAGCTCACCCAGCAGCTGGCCAGTCGCGGAGAGGCAGGCCGACGCCATCGAGGAGCGCCGGGAGGTCAGCGCGGACGTGCAGAGGCTGCAGGCGCAGCTGCAGGTGGTGCAGCAGGCCGCCGCGCAGAAGGCTACGAAGGATGTGCCGATGTCGGAGGCAGTCAAGACCCTCATCGCGGGCCGCGTCGACAAGCCGACGGAGGCGATCCCCCCAGAGCTCGACCAACATCTCGCGGCCGTGTGCGCTTGCTTTGAGAAGATCCAAGAGCAGCAGCAGCAGCCCCAGGAGGAGAAGAACGACCAGGATGACGCCTCCGAGACTCAACCAGGTGAGCAACCGGATGCAGAAGCTAGGGATGGAACTACTTCACCTGCGAGTGCAGATAGTGACGCAGGTGCTGCCGCGGCGCCTGGCCCAGTGGCTTCTGACCAGAACGAGGATGAGCAGATGGCGGAGGCGCGCGAGAGGGCTCTCGACCAGATGCAGACAATGCATGCTTTGCTGGTCACGGCGGGGCTCACCAACGAGGACGCGGCCAAGAGGCTCGAGGTGGCGGTCGAGCAGACTGCAGCCAAGGCGGCGGCATCATCATCGGAAGCGCCTTCGTCCTCCTAGCACGTCCTACAAGTTCGTCATGATCAACGGCAGCTGTTGGCCTCGGGCGAAGGCCTTCATCCAATCTGAGCTCGGCAGCCAGTCTCGCATCATTTGCGCGCAGGAGTGCAAGCTGTGCACAGATCACGTCATCACACAGGCAGTTCAACGGTGCCATCGAGAAGGGTGGCAAGCGGTATTTCAGGCAGGCGCAATCAGCTCCACTGAAACACCCCCTGCTGGAGTTTGTGTCCTGGTCCGTCGTGGTTTCGATTTGGGAGTTCAAGATTTGGTTTTACCTCCAGGTGCTCAGGATCTCGTTCCCCAGGGTCGTCTCGTGGGAGTTGAGGTGGGGCTGCCTGGGCTTGGAGTCATGGGCATCCTGTCAGCCTACAAGCAGGTCAGTGCAGGCCTGACTGAGACCAATCGAAGTATTTTGGCAGCAGCGGTAGTGATGCAGAATGAATACCAGATGCCCGTACTTACAGCAGGAGGCTATAGCATGAACCCCACCAATATTCGACAACACGACTTCACACAACGTGCTGGCATATATGTTCGCGCCTCTGGTATCCCGACATGTTGTACTAAACATTCTCAGGCATGTTTGGACTATTTCGTACACCGTAAATGTCTGGAGCGCATACTTTCGGAGCCGCACGTGCGTGTTAGATATCCTCTTCCGCCGCGCCACCCGATCAGCATTGACATTCCAGCTGACGATGGTTTCGCCGTCCCAGTCTTGCGCGAGACGCAGCGCCTGCCGACCCAGCCAGTTTTTGGACCCCAGTGGCCACAGCGAGAGCGGCACGCGACAGAGGCAGCTCTGCAGGCAGCCGATGCCATCCTCCACCGCAGCGTAGGCCCGCCACCCCCATAGGAGCAGCAACGCGTTTTGTGTCAGGTTTACACGTCGTTCATTTCTAATCGTGTTCATTTCTAATTGTGCCTGTTTCTAACTGTTCCTGCCCCCCTAGTGGCCAGGAAGAGCACCAAGAAAGTCAAAGACCTTTCGGCTACTTGTGAACACTGTGTATACTTTCCTGGCCAACGATTTGGAAGCTACGATCGCCAAGTTGACGGGCACCGCGTTAAAACTAGGCTCCCGTCTCAGGACCCGTCCTCCAAGGGCCCGCTGGGTAAGGGCGAAGCAGGTTTGAAATGAGCATCGCGTCGAGTGGAAGTCACGCGCAGGACATTTGCCACCGAGTTGCAAGCTTGTTTCGAATGCCAGGAAGACCCCCCCACCAGAATTCCAAGGGTCCGAGGTCCTCCAGCAGTGCCTCCGCAATGCCCACCAGGGCACCCAGCTCCTTATCCTGGATGTGCAGGCGGGTGCCCTGGTTCCTGAGTTATGTCTTGAGGATTTGGATGACGTTCTGAACCACATCATCCAATTGATAGATATGGAGATTGACTGGGAAAAGCAAGAGAGGGCCTGGCGGGGGTGGGTCCAAGTAGGCACTCAAGGTAACGCTGGCTGGGCTCGCAGGTGGACCAAGGCTTTGGACGCGTGGGCCCCTCAAGCCGTTCCCTGGAAAGGCTCTTGGACAGGGCGGCCCTCTAAGGTTCTCGATCATGAAGCAGGCAGGCTTAGCCAGCTTTGGACCACTACTGGAGACAGGCCTCGGTATCATGTACCTCCAGGGCCCCACGAGCCCCCACCTGCCCATGACAGAGCCCCCAGCAATTGATAGATGCCGCCAAGCAGTTCTCCCACGCGACCTCCGCGACGTGGGGCGGCTTCCACCCCGAGCATTTCCAGTGCCAGACGCTTGGCCAGGCGAACCTGGTCTGCCACTTTTAGCCACGCCAAGCTGATAGAGAGGGCCCACGACACTGGTTTCAGCAGCAAGATCCTTGAGGTTAACTTTAACGCAGTGCAGCAGTCAGCGCCTGGTCGCCACCAGAGATTTCGTGCAGATGGTCAACCATCCGACGCGAGGGATTGCAGCTGGCTGTGGATGGGCTACTGTCCTGGTGCAGATTTACAGTTTGGGGCCCCTGGACAGCTGGAGCAAAGCAAATCCCGGGGGCACCGATTTGCAGATGTGTATTTCCCCAAATCAGAGCTTGCCTCTGTGGGGGTCCTACCGGATTCATTCCCCAATCAGAGCTTGCCTCTCTAGGGGTCATGGCGGATTCATATGGTTAAATGAACTTTGCCGCCGAGTTCCGCGGCCCGCCCGGGTGCCTGGGTGCCCGGGTGCCCGGGTGCCCAGGTGCTCGGGTGCCCAGGTACCTTATAGCCCTACAGCCCTCCCTATATAGTCTTATAGCCTTATAGCCCTATAGCCCAATAGCCCTAGAGCCCAATTGTCCTATAGCCCATCAGCCTTCTAGCCTCATAGCCCTATCGCCCTGTAGCCCTATATTGCCCTATAGCCCTATAGCCTTATATCCCTATAGCCTTATAGCCCTATAACCCTATCGCCCTGTAGCCTTAAAAAGACTTTGATTGGGGTTTTCTCTGGTATCTCAAAGTTAGGTGGGCTTTGCCACCAATTTCCGCGGCCTGCCCAGGTCCCCGGTAGCCCGGGTTCCCGGGTGCCCGAGTGCCCGGGTGCCCGGGTGCCTTAAAGCCCTATAGCCCTATGGCCTCGTAGCCCATAGCCCTATAGCCCTATAGCCCAATAGCCCAATAGCCCAATAGCCCTATCGCCCTACGGCCCCATACTCTAAGAGCCCTATAGCCCAATAGCCCTATTTCCCTATAGCCTCATAGCCCTGAAACCCCCAAACCCTATAGCCTTACAGCCAACCGGGGGGTCGAAGCGGTCGGCGGCCCCTGCGCGAGCGTGGACGACACCAACGGGCAGGTGCTGTGCGACGCGTTCCTCTGGGGCCCCAAGGCCGTGTGGTGACGGACCGCGTGGTGACCTCGGAGTCCCCAGCGGCTCACCGCGCGCTCCGTCGCCACACGGTCTTGGGGCCTCGGAGGCCCCAATCGCCCGAGACGGCCTCGAAGAGCGACCCGAGTCCCAAAGCCGTGCGGCGACCCCCGAATCCCCACCGACTCACCACGCGGTGCGGTCATCACGCTGCCTTGAGGCCCCCGAATTCGGCACGGGGCCCCTTCGTTCGCCGCGGTGCCACCTGGGGCGGTCCCGGGTGGCGCCGCGCGGTGATGAGCGCCTGTGCCCAGGCGCCTGCGCGGTGCCAGCGCGGAGACTGCCTCCGGGCTGGGCGGCGGGGATCGCCGCATCCAGAGCGGCGGAGCCAAGCCTCAGCCCTAGGCTGCCCGGCCTTGCCCGAGAATGCTTACCGTCGGACCTGGGACAGCAGAGCATCCCTCAAGAACGTGACGCCCTGCGCCAGCCGAAGCACACAGAACCTCCAAGGGTGCCCTCCCCAGGGTGCACAAGAGCACTTCACAAGCACGAAGAACACTGGGGTACCCTCCCCGACGCGACCTCGATCTCATACCTCGGCCCGACTGTGCCGAGGCTGACTTCTACCACGCCTGGAGGCCGTCAGTGCCAGCGCGCTGGTCAAGGAGGATGAGCAGCGCATCGTGGCGCTGGCGGAGAAGCAGTGCGGCAGCGTCGTCCGCACGTGCGGGGGGCGGGCGGCCCGTAGACGCCAGGGGTCCTCGCCGAGCGCGCGATGGACAAGCAGGCCTTCGTGGTATCCCCCCTCGGGCAGCAGCTGGGGGCGGCCAGCGCGGCCATGGACGAGACCGTCCCTGCCGGTGCCGCCGTGGCTGTGCGGAACTCGGGGACGCGGGCTGGAGGTTGGAGCCTCCGCCGAGTTTCGCACGGGTGGGCCCTCGGGCGAATGAGGCGGCAGTGACCGCCACCCTGAGGCCCGCTCGATCCTCCTCGCGACTCTCTCGCGCCGCCCTGCGTGTGATACATACTCAGGCTCCTGCTTCCTGCGTGCTCACTCCTCCTCCTCCTCTTCCTCCTCCCCCTCTTCCTCCTCCATCTCCTCCTCTTTGTCCTCGTCCTCGTCTTCCTCCTTCCCCTCCTCCTCCTCCTCCTCCTCCTGATGCTGCTGCTGCTCCTCCTCGTCATCCCACCGTGCCCATCGTGGCGGTGTCTATCTTGCTGGCGCCGTTGTCGAGGACACGGGCCAGGCCGAAGTCGGTGACCTTCGTCACGTACTGCTTCGGGCACCTCCGCCCTCCCACCTCTGCCTCCCGTCGAGGGGGGAGTGCCAGTGGAGACCAGTCCACAAGAAACCTTCCTCAGGAAGCCAACCCTGAGATCCCAGGATGTCCATGGATTTTTGGTGTGGGAGCGTCATCGCAAAGCCATCGAAGCCCAAGAAACAAAGGGCACTCGGGAGGCAAGCAGGGTGTTTCTTGGCATGGGCCCCCACTGTATGACGGTGCGAAGGGGAGAAGGAGGAGGAGGAGGAGGAGGAGGAGGAGGAGGAGGAGGAGGAGGAGGGGGGGAGGAGGAGGGAGGAGGGAGGAAGTGCAGGAGGAGGAGGAGGAGGAGGAGGAGGAGGAGGAGGAGGAGGAGGAGGAGGAGGAGGAGGAGGGAGGGACGGAGGGATGGAGGGGGGGGGGAGGGAGGGGGGGAGGGAGGGAGGGAGGGAGGGAGGGAGGGAGGGGAGGAGGAGGAGGAGGAGAGGAGGAGGAGGAGGAGGAGGAGGAGGAGGAGGAGGAGGAGGAGGAGGCGGAGGAGGAGGAGGGAGGAGGAGGATCACGCTTCGAGCATGGGCCCCCACTGTATGACGGGGCAAGCGTATCAGGTCAGGTACCCGCAACGGCGACGTCTCTCGAAAGCTGCACGCAGCCATGGTCGTCTACGGGCGTGCGGGGCGGAGGGGGAGGAGAGGACGGACGGGGAGCAAGAGGAGGAGAAGGACGATGTGGATAGGGAGGAAAAGCGGAAGAGGAGACGAGTACGCGCCAGCCCCTACCCTCACCGTTCTCCTCCTCCTCCTCCTCCTCCTCTTCCTCCTCCTTCTCTTCTTCCTCTTCCTCCTCCTACGCAGTTGCACGTTGCACGTCGCGTCCTGCAGGGAGTGGCCGACACCCCCCCCAGCCTCGCAACTTGATGGATCCACGAGCAGGTCGGGAATTGCGCCAAAACATGTTCAAACATGAATGCCATGCGACTGGCCATCGCTCGGACGTCCATTCCCCGTGCATTGTTCGGCTTCGTGCGTGTATTTGCTCCTCGTTGGTCCCCGCCGACTAAATGCACAAGCCCGAGCGATGCCTAGACGATGTTGTGCCATACGTCGATACTCTGTTTCATGCTATGCTGTGCTGCGTGCTCTGACGCGGTCTCGGTCTTTCGCCCGAGACTCTCTCGCAATGCTCGTCACCATCCGGGGGCCCACATGGAGCCCTGTGTTGCTCCCATGAGCCTTCTGCAGGCGAGAGCCCAGAATCGAATCGACAAGTCGGATCGGCGATCGAATTGAATCGGAACGGCGGGAATCGGCGCCCTTTCCCCTCTGCGTCCCCCGTCGCCCTCCCCCTCCCCCTCCTTCCTCTCCACCTCGCCTCCGCTCCCATGGAAAAGGAAAAAGAAGGAGGGCGATGAGGGGCAGGGGTGGGGAGGGCGGGAGGGCGGGGAGAAGAGGAGGCGGAAGAGCCTTCCAAGAAGAGGAGGAGGATGAGGATGAGGATGAGGACGAGGATGAGGATGATACTGATGATTATGATCAGGAGGGAGATGAGGATCATGATGCTGATGATGGTGATGCTGATGATGCTGATGTTGCTGATGATGGTGATGTTGATGGTCACGATGCCGATTATGATGCTGGTGATGATGAGGAGGAGGCGGAGGAATGCGAGAAGGATGGTGATAAGGGTGGCGATGCTGATGATGATGCTGCTGATGATGATGAGGATGCTGATGACGGTGATGACGATGGCGATGACGATGCCGATGATGTTGAGGAGGACGATGAGGATGACGATGATGCTGATGGTGCTGATGATGATGGTGGTGGTGATGTATGGTGGATCATGGATGCAGGAAAGAATACTGTGAGTATCTACCCTTTCTTGATGAGGGAAAAGAAGAATGAGCATAAAAGGAGCTCAAACACAAAGGGATGGCATGGGACCCCCGAGGAACACCCACTGCGCTCCTTTTGCAATTCGCTACACGAAGATTCCTTGTGTACATCGCCCGCAAAAGAAGACATCCAATCGAAACGCTGCGCCAAAATATCTGATTTATAATCCTGAATATATAAATTAAGATATGAATCGCCCACAAACGGATTCCTTTGAAAAGGAGCTGGGGGCTGTTTTTGACCTCGCGAACAAAAAAACAATCAGAACAAACAAGACAACATTTGGTTTTTGTTTTTGGCTTTGGTTTTCCCTCCCCGCCCCGCCCACTTCACAAAAAAGAAAAAAACGGGAAGGGCTGCGGTTTCCTGTTTTTTGTTTAGTGATTTTTTTTGCCAAAAGAATCCAAACATTTGCCGGCTCCCTTTCAACGGAAATCCGTTGTGTGGGCGACTCACATATTGAGGTATGTTGTGGCTTACGCCGAGAATCCTTGCGTGCTGCTTTTCAACCGGATTCTTTTTGCAGCTAACTTCCATCTTGATTTCTCCTTCGTGGAATGCACACAGACTTGTTTGTGCGGATGTTCGGCAGGATTCCTTGTGCGCGCGATCTACAGCCTGATTTCTACTGCGTGGATTGCACATCGAATTCCTCTGTGCGGCTTTACAATCGGGTCGATTCTGTGGGGGGTGTACACGATGGAATAACATTGTCTGGAGGCGCCCCATGTCTAAAATGATGATAGTGCAGGCTGCTTAGTCTTTATTCAAGTTCTACTGAGGGTGGATCGCAGCCAGCTCCAGTCGAATCCCATGAAAGTGAATCCGTCCCTAGTGGGATTCTCTTCCAGATGGCTTGATTTTTTATTCGGATTCAAATAGAAGCGGATCTACCTGCAACAAACTTATATATTCCAGGCGGTTCCATCCTTAATCAAGGTCTAGGGCAGGTATGCCCACCTTGATCGGGATTTACAAGAGAGAGGGTGGCTCACTTTTAACAGGATGTGTGTACACATGGTTTTGGCATTCACGAAGCTTCAGTAGAGGTGGACCCCCCTTGTGATAAGATTATGTTAGAGGTGATTCCTTGTCTAATGGGGTTTATTCCATATTGCTGCATCCTTGTTATGATTCGGTTAGACATGGTCCACTTTGAATGGGGTTACAGTATTGGTCCACCCCTACCTCGATTATCTGGGAAGTGGCTGCATCACTCATTAAAAAACGAACTAGGGTGTATCCAAGCCTGACAGTTTTTTTAATCGGATTCCTTTGCGCAGAAAATCACATGAGAAGCGGATCCATTTCGAATGCAATTTTGTCAGAGGTGGTTTCATTCATATTCACATTCAACGAGAGGTGGGCCCACCTATCATATAATGATATCCCAAACCGCTCCATCCTTAATCGGATTCTGCTTGAGTTGGGTCCACTTCAAACCAACCGTCTAGCAAATGTAACGCATTCCGTAATCAAATGCTGTCAAAGCAAGGATGCCCCTTGATGGCGGACCCACTTCCGAAAGAATCGTTTGAAGGATGGAGCCGTGTGAATCCACATTCCATTGATGGTGGGTCAACCTTTACTAGAAGCCATCAGAGGTGGACCCACCTCCAAGAGGGTCCTGTTGAGGATGGAACCGCCTGGAATATAAGTCGAGTGAAGGTGGATGCGCCCTCATTTGTTCCAGATGTAGACTTGGCCCACCTCTAAGAGAAGCCTGTGAGGGATTGATCAGCCTTTCATGATTTTCGGTTAGAGGTGGCTTTGATCCACCTGTAACAAAATCCGCCGACCCTGTCGGCGTGTGGAAGACGCATCCCGGTGTCGTCGTCTTGCGTGGATCACCGTCGTCGTCGTCGTCGTCTCCGTCGTGTCCTCGTCGTCTCCGTCTCCGTTGTCCCTCGTCGTCTTCGTCGTTCCCCGTCTCCTTGAGCGCGCGAGCCAAAGCGACATTGAGCAACGTCGTAGTTGAGTCGTGGCGAAGCCCCTCCCTACCCTCCCCGCCGGGGGGGGGGGGGTCGCCACCCAGATACGCATCCTCCCCGGGGGGTCCCGGAGCTCAGAAAAGCTTCAAGACGAGCCAAGAGCGACAGAAGACACCCCCAAAAGGGTACAAGAGGGCCTCGACTCGACGAACGATGGCCCCAAGACGCCCAAGACGGCCCGAAGACGGCCCAAGAGGCCCTCAAGACGCTCCAAGAGAGCCCCAAGAGCACACCCAAGAGGGCCCCAGGCGCCAAAATCGTCAATTTACATCGGTTTTTGAATGATTTTGGCCTTCTCGCCTTTTCGGCTTTCCGACACTCCAAGACGGCCCAAGAGGCCCCCAAGAGGCCCCCAAGAGCGCCCCAAGAGGCCTACAAGAGGGCCCTAAGACGGCCCAAGAAGGCCCCAGGACAGCCTAAGAGGCGCCCAAGACGGCCCAATAGGGCCCCAAGACGGGCCCAAGAAACGGCCAAGAGGGGGACGAGGAACCGAGAATTCGAGACTTCCGCCCTAAGAGGCCCCCGGGAAGCCCCAAGAGGCCCCCAAAAGGCCCCAAGAGGCCCCCGAGCGGCGCCAAGACGCCCCCAAGATGCGCCGAAGACGGCCTCCGGAAGCCCCAAGAGGCCCAAAAGAGGCCCCAAGAGGCCCCACAACGGCCCCCAAGAGGCTTCAAGTTGCCTTCCAGACGCCCCCGAGAGGTCAACCACGAGATCCCAACCAACATCCATAAGGCCTCCTCCTCCTCCCCCTTCACCCTTCCTCCTCCTACTCCCTTCCGCCTCCTCCTCCTCCTCCTCCTCCTGCCCCCCCCCTCGTGTTGTCTTTCGTCATCTTCAGGGTCGGCGGCAACGGCCGTAAGGCCTTCGCAATCTGATTACAGGCGGGGCCGCCTGTGATAATCCTTTGAAGGATGGAGGCGCGTTCACACAATAGAAGTCAACTGGTAATCCCTCCCGCAAAAGGAGCTGCGTTTCAAAGTCGCACAACGATAGTCTATCTGCAACCCACAGAAGCAGGACACAATTTGTACATCGCCCACAAAGAGAATTCTAGCCACACGCCGAACACAGTGATTCTTCGCTTAAGCCCATACGATAAAAAAACAACAACGCATATGCAAATCGCGCCACATCTGACAACTTTCGATCAGGGTACGAGGCACTTGACATAATCCCGTCAGACATGGAGCCACCTGTAATAAAATCGTACGACGCATGGAGCCACCTCGAATCTAACCGTGTTAGGGATGGGCCTGTCGCTAACGAGCTCCGATTCGAGATGGATCCACATCTGACGGAATACCAGGGATGAAGCAGTCCGAAATTCAAAGTCATTCCTTTTCAAAAACTCACTTCTAATATAATCATATTCGGGGTGGAACCACCTCTACTGGAATCCTGTGAGCGCTCTCTGCGTCCGATGGCAAAACGGCAGAACAACTACACTTCCACCTCGCCCGTTTTCGATTACGTCACTGTCCTTCCTCCTTGTCTCCCCTACCGAAAAGGCTCATGTACTAACAGCGTTCATGATGGATGGTGGATGGATGGATCGGTAGAAGGAGATTACAATCATGATGGTGCTGATGCTGATGATGATGATGATGACGATGACGATGACGATGATGATGATGATGATGATGATGATGATGATGATGATGATGATGATGATGATGATGATGATGCTGGTGCTGCTGATGATGATGGTGATGAAGAGGGGAAGGAGGATGATGACGATATGGATGACGAGATGAGGAGATGGAGGAGGAGAGGAGGTGAAGGAGGAGGAGAAGGGGGTGGAGAATGCCCTCTCCAAACTCCCAGACCCCTGCCCTCCACTCCCCTCTCTTCTCCCTCCCCTCCCCCATGCCCTCCACCCTCGGACACCTGCGCTCCATCAACAACACGTTGGACGTCGTCAGGTCCCCGTGGATAATGCCCCGGCTGTGCAGGTAGGATGCCGCAGAGCTAATCTCTGCGCAAACCTCCGGGAGGGGAGGCATGGGGGGCCTGTTGCTACAGCTTGTGCACCTCCTCATTCTCCTCTCCCTCCTCCCCTTCTCCTTTTCCTCTCCCTCCTTCTCCTCCTCCTCCTCCTCCTCCTCCTCCTCCTCCTCCTCCTCCTCCTCCTCCTCTCTCCTCGTCGTCAGACTTTCAGAAGCACGACAAGACAGCTTTGAGGGAACGGGCCCTCGAGCCCAACGGACGGCAACGAAGGCTACGTGCACGCCGTGCCGCGGGCGCTGGCACACCAGAAAAACTTGAACCACCGGGCTCCAAGAACCAGTGCATTTCGGGGAGGAGGAGGAGGAGGAGGAGGAGGAGGAGGAGGAGGAGGCGGAGGAGGATTCCCCAGGAGGAGGAGGAGGAGGGAGGAGGAGAGAAGGAGGAGGAGGAGGAGGAGGAGGAGGAGGAGCAGGAGCGGACGGCAGCTGTGGGACACACCGAGCAGGAAGTTCAGGAGGCCAGCATTCAGGTTTCAGAGAAGGGCTGGGCCCGGGTGCGCTGCCAGGTCTCCGGCGCTCTCGCCAGCCGCTCTCGAGGGCCCCCGCCTGGAGAGCTGGACTGGGCTCACGCACTTACTGCAGCCTTCTTAGCCTGGAGGGCCTCCGCCTCCCCCTCCTCCTCCTCCTCCTCCTCCTCCTCCTCCTCCTCCTCCGCCTCCGCCTCCGCCTCCGCCTCCGCCTCCGCCTCCGCCTCCGCCTCCTCCTCCTCCTCCTCCTCCTCCTCCTCCTGCTCCTCCTCCGCCTTCTTACGAACACCGGCAGGGGCAGAGTTGAAACTGCCCCAGCTTCGAGCGGTCGCCAGCGGCACCATCGAGAGGCCGCTGCTGAGATGGGGGCGCGCACACTGGGACCTCTCGGAGCGGCCTGGCGACGTCTTGAGAGAATCGGTAAGGCTTGGAGAGCCCCTTCTGGAGTTCGCCGGCAGTGACGGCGAGAAACACCCGCCCACTACCACCTCGCCAGCTCTATATCGCGCAGCGATGCCTCCTGACCCTGGCAGGGAAGTTTGCCTTGCGAGACCGCCAACAATATAGACGTGGACGAGGTTAACATCTCCCACGCTAAGGCCCTTGTCAACCCCAACCTCACCAAACATAGCATTCTGATAATCTGGGCCTACATGACTCATTCGATCTGGCCTCGGATTCGACTCCAGCCCGCAGGACTGCAACATTCTACATCTGTGGAGCCCCCGTCGACGATGTAGAGCACGGGCTCCTAATATGCAGCAGTGCGGCGGCACTTCGGCAGGCATACCTCGCAGGAGAGGATGTGGAGGCTCCGAGGCGTTCTGAGGCCTCTGAGGCCTCTGCAGAAGGTGCTGGTCTCGAAGAGCCCTCCCCGCGTAAGGTTCCTAGGGCTCCAGGGCCGGGGCTCGACCAGGCCGAGTCTTGGTCCTTGGAGGGCCTTGTGCCCGAGGACCTTGACGGAAGCGCAACCCAGGATGCCACGCGTGGCTTTACGCCCCTGGCTGGGGGCGCGCGCGAGCCGCGGTGAGGGCGGAGGGGGGGGGGGAGCAGGAGCAGGAGGAGGAGGAGGAGGAGGAGGAGGAGGAGGAGGAGGAGGAGGAGGAGGAGGAGGAGGAGGAGGACCAGTGTAAACCCAAGAGTCATCAAGGATGTTGGAGTTAACCCTCCCCCCAAGCTCCCCCCTTCATGGGTCGCTGCAACGGCTCATTTCCACTGTGGGAACTGCCTCGTTGGAAGACAGCCGTTTGAAGATCCGGAAGCATGCCAAAACATTGTTCTCGGGATTTCAACGCCACATATCAAACTGACTGCTGCGTTTTGACGATCCAGAACCGTGCCATAACGCCACTTTTGGATTTCAACTCCGCGAACCAACATAACTGTTGCACCCGCATAATCCTGAATCCTTCCAAAACACCATTTCTGGTACGTTGATCATGGGACAATTCGTGAACGAATATGTGCGGCGCTAAGGCGAGAGCCACATTTTAAAAAGGAGCCGCCCTCAATCAGTGAAGCTCTTACAAATCTAAAAAACGAATGTGCGCGGCGCTATGGCGAGAACCACATTTTGGAAACCAACCGCCCTCAATCCGTGAAGCTCTTCTAGATTTTGAAAACGAATGTGCGCGGTTCCAAAGCGAGAACCATCGGGCTCAGCACCGTTACCCAGTGTTGCCACGCGAACGGGTGCGATGTGACATGAAACTGGACTGCATGCGCGTCGAGACGGCCGCCCACTCGCCGGCCTCGCGCGAGTCGTCGGAGGCAGTGCCGCCTGCGCGACCTGCGTCTCGCTGGCGGGCAAGGCCCGCCCAAACCGCGCGCGCGCCCCCCTTTCGAGCCCATCAGATCAGCGTGTCTGGAAACGCCCGTTCATGGCCCCCACTGCCACCTGCCCATCTGACGCCCTCAGACGAGCTCGATCTGGACCCCGGCGCAGACGCGGCCCCAGGCTTGCGCGCAGACGGAATCGCAGGCGGGGCATCGTGGTGAAGGGTGAGAAGCTGGGGGTCCACAGAGAAAAGACCCGAGCTCAGCCCTGCGGTGGGTCTCCACGGCACATCAGGCACATCAGCTCTAACCTGGGCACCCTTCGCAAGCGGTCTGGCCGAGTGACGGATTGCCGCGACATCGAGGCGCGCAAGTGTTCTTCCCGCCTCCAGTTGCGCGCGTGCACTGGGCGCCCGAGCAAATTATCTCGCCGTCGGCTCTGTCTAAGAAACCTTTCCGCGCGATCTGTGCCGGCGTGGAATTCCAATCTGCAGCGACGAACCAAGGCAACTGAATGACCGGAAGAATGGGCCCTAATTCTGACGCCCCCGCGACGCAAACCGATGCCTGAATCTCTTTGGAGCGGAAAACTGCAACGGGGAGGGCCCGCACTTGGAAAATGCAACCACCAGCTGTCGCTTTTAAGCTTGTGGCTGCGCGGGCTTGGTCTAGCAGCGGAGCTGCGCGGTGGCTGCGAGTCCGAGTCCGCTCGCCCCGCTCGTTCGCGTAGCCGTCGCCCTCGTCCTTTGTCGCCCTCGCGGTAACCCTTTCGACTTTGGCAGAGCTGATTGCTGAGCGACTTGAGGGATTGAGTCTCGCACTGTGCATTGTAATCGTGGTCCGCAGCAGCGCCATGAGCGATGAACTCCCAAGCTTTGTCGCCCATGCAGGTCGCGCTGCCGAGCGACTTGGCGCCGGTGGCCTCGCTGGTCGAAGAGCCCCTCTGGGGCTGATTCGCCGCGGCCCCGTCAGTCCCCGAGCTGCCTGGCAAAGACGACTTGGGCGCCGCAGGCCTCCAGCGCTGGCTTTGGCCGGCGGCGCTGACGGCGCCGCCTTGGTCGCGCGCGCCGCCGACGCCGATGCCGCTGGCTGCCGCCGCCGCGCCGCTCTTGCCGTCGCCCCTGAACGACGCCGCAGCCGCGGCCCTGAACCTCGCCTCGAAGATCTTGGCCGCCTCTTGCTCGAGCAGCTCGTCGTCGAGACCCTCGGGGCTGGCTCCGCCATCGCCTGCGGCGCCCTCCGCGGCCGCGCCAGCAGCAGCGCCGGCGTTGCCGCCGCCAGGGGCCGCCTCGCCGCTGGTTTCGGGACGCCTTTTCTTCGCCCCCATGCGCGAAGTCACCTCCGCCTGTGCGTTCCCAACCTCCTCGTGGAAGGCCTTGAGCTCGCCGTCTTTCTGCTCGAAAGATGTGCGCCAGGCTGCTTGGGCGCCGCGAGATTGACCTTGTCCTGCTCCTGGCAGTCCCAGTCCTCGAACTTGTCCCAGAATTCGCTGATCATCGTGATGCTGATGATGGACGGGGTTTGCCCTGGTGCCCCATCTTCTCCACCGCGTCCCCGCGCCTTGGCGTGCGCTTCGGTGGCCGAAGCAGCCGGCTGTGCTTCCTTCAGCAACCTGGAGCTGCTTGCGTCGAAGTTCTTGTGTCGCAAGTTGTTCGTGTCTGTTCGGAGCCGCTCTCCAGGCTCCATATGCTGGCTTCAGCGCCTCTTCATTCGACACAACGGCCACAATCTTCATCTTGACCTCGTGCCGAGACCGCTGCGCCGTGAGCGCGGCCTGCTTCTCGGAGTCGTTGGTGGCCACGAAGGCCTGCTGGAGGAGGTGGTCGAACTCTTTGGTCTTGGCAACGCGCGGGCCAGGACTCTTGCCTCGACCTCCCCCCACTTTTGGCACTGTATAGCTCCTCGTCCTCCCGCCGCGCATGTCGATCCCCTGCAGGGAACCTTGGGCGAAAAATTGCACTTCACCGACACCTTTTGTCCAGGGAGCTTGCCGTTGTATTCGCACGCCTTGCAAAACGTGAGTCTGGTCCATGGGCGGGACTTCGGAGCCACGATCCCTGCTTTCGCACACGCTCGAAGAAAGGGCCGAACCTCGGATGGCAAACTCAAGCACCACGTGTGAGGTACAGGGACTGCGTCAAACCCACCTGGAATAATATCTTGGGCAAGCGGCTCGATGGGCGAGGAGGGGGGGGAGGAGACAAGGAGGACGAGGGCAAAGAAAAGGACGACGAGGAGGCTAAGGACCAGGACGAGGGCGAGGAGGAGGAGGAGGAGGAGGAAGAGGAGAACGAGGAGGCGGGGTTGGAGGAAGAGGCAGCGGGCGCACGCCTCCATCACCTCGCTGAAGCCGCCCCTCTCCACGATCTCTCGCCTGAGGATCTTCTGGTGCAGGGTCCCGAGCCCGCACCACTCCTGCACCATCCAGGGCCTCCTCCTCCCCCTCCTCCTCCTCCTTCCCCTCTCTCCTCGTCCTCTTTCTCCTCCCCCTCTCTCCTCCTTCCGTTCGTCTTCCTTCCAATCCTCCTTCCCCTCCTCCGCCTGCTTCTCATTCCCCTCCATCCCTTTCCTTCCTCCTCCTTCTGCTCTTCCTCTGATTTCGAGGAAGGCTTACCGAAAATGTCTCAGAATGCCTGGTGATGATGACGATGATGATGATGATGATGAGGAGGAGGAGGAGGAGGATGAGGAGGGAGGAGGAGGAGGAGGAGGAGGAGGAGGAGGAGGAGGAGGAGGAGGAGGAGGAGGGAGGAGGAGGAGGAGGAGGAGGAGGAGGAGGAGGGAGGAGGAGGAGGGAGGAGGAGGAGGGAGGAGGAGGAGGAGGGAGGAGGAGGGAGGAGGGAGAGGGAGGAGGAGGAGGGAGAGGGAGGAGGAGGAGGAGGAGAGGAGGAGGAGAGATGAGGAGGAGGAGGGAGGAGGAGGGAGGAGGAGGAGGAGGAGGAGGAGGAGGAGGAGGAGGAGGAGGAGGGCCTTCCCATCCTTCTGAGCAGGTTCGCCCCTTCGTACTTCCCTGGCCGCCCCCGAGTCTGGTTCGCGCTGCATTCCGCGTCTGCTCCAGGCTCGACCAGTTCGGCCATCTTCTGACCCGGGTCAATCCAGACCCGGGTCAGCAGGAAACCAAAAACTGCAATGCAGGAAAAAAAACTGCAACGCAGGTCTTCGCAAACCCGGGTCAGCCAATAGGCGCGGCAGCCTCGCGGCCACGAGCGGCTCGCTAACTCGGGTCAGCCAGAGGGGGTCTTCGCAGGAACCTGCAGGATCCGGTGCCGTGGCTGACCCCCCTTTGCATTGACCTCCGTCTCAAGGCTCCCGACCAGTGCTTTAAGCAGTTCGTCCGGCGCGTCGCCGCAGCGCTGCGCCTCCATGCTGCCCGCGAGGCTGGCCCGCAGGGGCGGCTTGCCGCCCGCCTCCCCGTCTAAGCTTATGTCGGGCGTGTCCCCCTACAGGGGGATGTTCGACGGAAAATAAAAAATACCCCAAAATAATAAAACATAGTCCAAACATAGTCTGGGGACTATCTTTGGAGTTTTTTGTTATCAAAAAACAAAAACAAGAAACATAAACATTTTTGGGGTACTTTTGGGCCATCTTTTATGTTTCGTCGAAAATCCCCCTGTAGGGGGACACGCCCGACATAAGTCTAAGCCTTGCTCGACGCTGCTCGGACCGGGACTGGCGCGGACCGACGCGTCTCGGGCCGCGGCCGCGGTCGGCAAGGCAGAAAACGCAGCTTGGACCACAGCGGCCCTGTCCAGATCGGGTCGCGATCCTGCCTCCTCCTCCTCCTCCTCCTCCTCCTGCTCCCTCAGAGATGCGGTGCCTGGACTTTTTTCGAGACGCTGCCCCTGCAAGTCCCAGCCCTTTCGCAAGGGACGGGCTTCTCTCATCCTGGCTCGCTTTTCGACGATCCTGGAGCCGGGCGAGGGCCCCCAGAGAGCGAAGACAACGAAGATCCGCTGCCCGACTTCTTCAAGGCGCTGCATGGCTGGGCCTCCTGCTCCTGCTCCTGCTCCTCCTCCTCCTGGTGGTTTCTGGGCCGGAGGAGGAGGAGGAGGAGGAGGAGGAGGAGGAGGAGGAGGAGGAGGAGGAGGAGGAGGAGGAGGAG